AAATAGAAAGGCAACATAAACATCTCCACCAAAAACTGGTTCAAAATTCAAGCCATCAAAATCTAGGTGTTTAATTCAAACTATCTCGACAGTTACGGCAATAAATTTTCATAAATGCAAGTTTCTTGAAATGTCATCAAAATTAGAAAGGTCAGCAATTTCTTTTTTTAAGAAAAGAAAACGGCAACAATTAAATCATAAAAGAAAAAGTATAAATAAATAATGAATTAAAAGTTAAAATTTTAATACTATCTTAATTTCAAACTTCAGTTACTTTTAAAACGTTGTTTTTGGTCTCTGTACCTTAAAAGAATTATTATCTTGATCATTAACTATTCGTAAAATTTTCACACAAAATTTATACACAATAAAAGCAATTTAGTATAAATGTATAACTACATTTCAAGAAATTTAGCAAGTAAAGTGTCGTATTAAAATTTTTTATCAAAATAAATGAGATGAAAATAAAAATAAAAACATAAAAAGTACATCGATCAAAATAAATATTTCAAAAGTACCTCTACTAAAATAAACAAAAATAGATATTTCAAAAAGTATGAAAACAAAAATAATGTTATGGAATAAAGGAAATTTCCTTAAAAAACAAGGTCTAAGGAGAGTTCCTCAATTTTAAAATATATAATTATTTTATATAAATATGTCAATTTTTAAAAAAGTATTTTTCTTCAACACTGCTAGGTACAGCCTCTACTGTTTAAAATATAAATAAATTATTTTCTATCTTTTTATCTAATTATGGTAGCAATTTCAAAACTTATATTTTTTTAATTTATTATATTGTCATTATATATTAGTAATATTTTTCTTAGAGTACTTATATATTTTATTAATTCTCTATAAAGCATTAAATTTTTTAGATTTGATTGTTTTCATTAGATATAATTTTTAATTTGAGTTTTAGAAATTATAAAGAAATTTAAAGATTAATTGTCTAAATTATATTCTTTCTTTTAACTTTACTCCTATATACTTTTAAATATATTCTATGAATTTAATGTTATTTTGAATATAATAGTATACTAAAATATATATATATATATATATATATATAATAGTTAATAAAAAATCTCTCTGAACAAAAATGTTATATTTGCCCCTAGCAAAGCATATTTAATGAAGGTTAAAAAAAATATTTGATACTTTGCTACTTTTTCTAGAATAACAATTTAGTTTATGAACTTTAGTTTGTAATGACTTAGTCCTGGTACTTTTAGTCCATAAACTTTAGCTTGTAATGATTTAGTCCATGTAGTTTAAAATTTGTATCAATTTAATCTGTAACAAAACTTATTAAAATTAAGTGTTAAATTTTATCATAAAACAATTTAATCTTTCTAATTTATAAATATATTTGGTCCCTCTTTAGTCTATCAATTTATAAATATAAGAAACTTAACAAACAAAAAAAAAAAGTTTCACGACATAAAGACTAAATCGTAACTAACTTTAGATTACAAGAACTAAATTGTTATTCAACGACTAAATTATTATCAATTTGAGAATAGAGTGATTAAATCGTTACAAGAAATAAATTGCCATCGGACCAAAAGTATTTTTTAACCGAATTTTATATAAAGCCACGGGAATAAAAATTCTGGATCCCCCGCAAGAGGCCAGGTGTAAGGCAGTTGGGCGGAGGATGAATTGACGTGATGACAAAGGGCATTTGACCACAGATGCTAACTTTTTTGACATTGGGATTTTCTGCAGAAAAAGGCACCGCAAGAAGGCTGACTGAAGAAGAGAAATTTGGGAACTGGGGGAGGGAAAAATCAGCAAACACGGTTCAATTTTGACACGTTTGTTGAATTCACCATTGCCTTTTCTTCTTCTTCTGTTATGGTAGTTTCTTAGTTTCTGTATGATTGAATTTTAAACACGTTATATATTATTATATAATATATAAATATTGTAGAAATGTGATGTGTGTGGGCAGGTTCTTTTTTCTTTAATTTGTTCTTGTTGATCAAGGAATTGAAAGGGTTTGATGAATATCAAACAACTAAGAAGTGGTTCGTACACGGTTTTGTACAGTGTTTCAACTTCTAAATACCAAATAATTTTGGAACACTTTTGACTCACTATCTACTCCTTCCTCTGCTTTGTGATCTGTTCACTTCAAACTTTTAAATAAGAAATGCAACTCTTTTGACTCACTGTCAATTTCTTTATACTTCTTGTGATGTGTCATGTTATGTGTTGATCTAATATGATATCAACGCAACTTTTCACCTTTTTTTTCTTTCATAAATATTACGACTCCATTCTAATCTTCCTCAATAACTGATCTAAACTGTGAAATTGACACCTTCAATAAGTTGAGTTTCAATTCATTTTGAACATTTACAGTTGGGTAGGAACAATAATATTCTTGCTACTGGACAAAAATCTTTTGTGGGTATAGTAATATTTTAGTTTAATCGAGAAGGTATTCTTGATGAATTTTTTTAATGTTATAAAAATATAATTAATTATTTACAAACTATTTTTAAAAATATTGTAGTTTTAATTGTCTCCAAGCAAGGTCCAGAGACGACCTTGTACACGAAGGTAGGAGGTCGTCTCGTCTTTGAGGTGGCAAGGCATGTTCAAAAGACGATAAGTACTAGTAACATGGAGTTTTATTTATTTTTTTCAAAATAGCATAGGATATACGGGGAGGAACCCTATTAAAAAAAATTGTATGTCGTCTCCTTTTGAGAGACAATTTTCCTATGTGGTAGGCTACACAAGATAAGAGATGACCTTACCTTCCATGTAAGAAGGTCACCAGAGACAACCCTTACGTGGACTAGATCATCTCTTGGAAGGACAATATAATATCAGAATAATTAAAACAATAATATTTAAAAAATAATAATTTGCAAATAATAATATTATAAATAGTTAGCTATGTTTTTTTATAATATTAAAAAAAAGGTCCTTAATTTCACTGCTTATTGCACTATATTCATTATATGGATGAAATTTGATGAAATAGAAAGATTAAAGTGAAAAGAAAACGAAGAAGACAACAAAGGAGAAGTAGGAGAGAAATTATATTGTTCTATCCATTGAATTAATAATCGTTACAAATATTTATAAAAAAAAAAAAGCAATAATCAACCATTAATTTACTACTTAGGTCACTGCCATTCAATCATTATCAACCATGATATGTAATTACCAAACACAACTATCTAATGTGAAAATACTAACAAATAATCTAATACATGGCTGGAAGGCATGGAGGCAATTTGGGAAATTATTAATAGAAATAATGAAGGCAGAGGTATTATAGGTAAGAGTTTTAGTTTTTTTTTTTTTTTTGGGTTGAAAAATATAGGTAAGAGAGTTAAGAGGATGTTTTTGTCAAAGTGCTATAATTGCAAAAACCCCTTGCTCAAGATGTGGGTCACAAGAAAATTATGTTTTTAATCAAAATGTGGTTCAATGAGCTTGATCCCACCGACTCTTAGAGCATATTTAAGAGTGGTTTTATCGGTGGCTAAAATCATTTTTGTTATTGTCAATTTGTAAAAACCGCTTCTATTTTAAAATATAGATATTTGATAATTATAATACATAAGTGATTCTCCAAATCACTTGAAATGCAATTTTGAGTGGTCAAATTAATAGAATATTGGGGTTTTAATGTGACTTTGTTTTAAATCTCAAAATTATCCTTGATCAAACACTTAATTTAACCGGTTGCCTGTGGTCGAGGGCACCTCTTTTTCTTGGTTTCTTCCTCTCTAGTTGGTAGGGGAGACCGGTGAGTTTTATATGAAATTTGCGCTAATAAATAAATTGATTTTTTTAATATAATATGTGGAAGTGAGAATTTTAAGTTCACGATATAAAAATAAGTGTCTTATCCAATTAAATTAGGTTTCAAGTTGGCAATAAACAAATTAATTGAGATAAAGAAATAACCAAATGTTAAATGTTAAATATAAAAGCCTCAGCTTATCACAAGATAAGGTAAAAGATCTAAGAAGAGCAAAAGTCTACGCCTATCAAAATATCAAGGTTGTATCAATATTTTTATATGTTTATGAGTTTGACATGGATGAGAATGACAAATCAACATTTTCATAATATTGTAACAAATTTGACAAAATATATAAATCAACAAAACATCACCATGTTTCAAATCAAAAACAACACAACAAAAAAAAATTATCACCCATACAAACATAATATTTAATATTAATAATCTTTAATTGGTTTAAAAATGGTGAAATACACATTTGTAATAAGTTTTTCTTTATTATTTTAATAGTTTTTCGAGAAAAATCCATTGACATCAAATTTTCCATAAAATTGAGATATTCACCTTTTCATCAAGAGCAATATTTAAAATCTTTCTCTAACATTTCGTTATCAATTTGAAGCATAGGTGACTCAACGTCTTCAAAGGTGGGGCCAATGAGGTGGACAATGGAAATTATCAATATTGTAATCAATAAGAGATATACATATGACATATATATATATATATATATATATATATACACACCAAATGATGAACAAAATATCACTATAATTTACATTTACAACCGTGTTTTTATTCTAAATAAATGAATCAAAGCTGGAACTCAGCACCAGCAATGACAATCTAGATGGGTTCCTAAAGGCTATAGGCTCAGCTTGGGAAAGAAAGTAAAACAAAATGGGAAAAGGGAAAGAAGTTGAGCAGATTGAGAAATCCATCCTATCCTATTCCTACTCCCACCATGACTAACCTTTCTGGATTTCAAAATTGTCTCCACCACAAATCACTTTCCAATTGAATTGCTTGCAGCTGTACCATGATTGTTCCTCCTAACAATATGACATCACAGGTCCATTATCTCCCCTCCTGTCACTTCAATACACAAGGCCCTACCGCAACTTGAACCCAGGCAAGGATAAGATCCAAGCAGTTTCCTCTCATTAACCAGAAATTTTCAATGGTTATACTCAGTAGTACCTAAATGGCTAAACTTTTCATTTTCTTTTTTACATATACTCTCCTTCTTCTAAGTTTTTTTCTATTTCCTTTCCTACCAAAAACTGTACAATAAAATGAAGGGTCGAAGAGTGGGTTTTTGTGTACCCCTAAGCAGTATAGTCTCAGAAGTGTTCCTTGTGAAAATCAAATTTAGTTGGGCCCTTTTGATTGAATTCGTAACAGAGCTTGCTAAGTTCTTTGGCAAGGACTGGTGCTCCACAGTAGAATACTCCTGAACGCAATTGTCAAACCGAGAAGGATTAGATTAGGAAATGCAGCTTTTTGTCCTGCTGTTATTTTTTTTTTTTTGAAGGGTACTCACCTATTTTGGCATTACAGTGCTTGGCACAAATTCTGGAAAAAACTTTCTTCCAATTTGGCCTTGCAAAATGGGTTCTGACCTGATCATGGAGAGTAAAAATGAGAAAACTGAATGTGCGAAAAGAACTCGTTGATTTGTTGACAAGTAAAAGATCAAGGAACTTTACCCTAGTTCCCAGAAACTATGTCAACTCCAGAACTTAAAAGCCAAACTTAAGTAGAAAACTGATTTTGTAGTAGAAATTTACCCTGGTGCCAGAAACAATATCCATTCCGTTCTTTGCGTGATTTAGTGCTTGAACCATTGTGATGAGGGCTGATCTAGCGTCTCCTTCCTCGTACACACTTGTCAGGTAGTTGTGCATCTCAATGACACCCTAAGTTTCAAGTCATGAAGTTAAAAGAATGAATCAACGAGGACATAAAAGCCCAAAAGAAGTTCAGTGTTACCCTCTGATCCATCTCAGCGATTTCATTCATGACCCCTTTGAACCAGTCAAACGACCCTTGCTCCCTAGTTACCCAGTAAAAGTAAGCGTTAGTCGTCTTCAGAATCTTCTTTCGCTTGGGAGAAACCCTGGGAGTAGTGGAAGAGTCCGTGCTTCCACAACTGAGATCCGATTCTTTACCGCCGTCTGCAATTGAATCCTGAGGAAGGAAAGCTTAATGATTATCGTATGAATGATAAGTTTTAAGGGGAAGGAAAAACTCGACAAGAAAAATGTTTGTACATAAAACTCTAAATCGAGGATGTTGCTAGTTAAATAGGCACGTATTAGTTGAAAATTCAGGATCATATGATGAATGCAGGTAATTACCGCCTGCTCCTCCATTTTGACGATGTTGTTAAGCAAATCCTTTAAAATGCTAATGAAAGGTGTTGCTCCAATACCAAGACCAACAAGTAATAGAACATCATAATTTCTGTAGTCTTGGGCAGGTGCACCATAAGGTCCATCTATTAAGAGCTTCGGCAAACTGAAATGCATTGCATGAGAAAAAGATCCATTAAGAGGGCCAGAATTAGGAAATGAAGAGATTTTAAGATTTATATACCATTTCTTGGTCGTTTCATCAGCCCTGAGCAGCCCACTCTTCCCAGCAACAGGTGGCTCACAGGCTTGAGCAAATACCTTCTTTAACTCTTGTGTCCAATCACCCAGCTGCCGTATGTGAACACTCAGATAGTCATCTCCTGGAGCAGAAGTAATCGAAAATGGATGCCTGCATACGAAGATGATGGGCACTAAAGCAAATTATGCATTATATAATGGAAGTATAATACCCTGGCGCACAAATTTGTGTTACTGAGGCACAACAAGTTTCAGCTCAGATTCTTGAAAATTAGTGAAAAGTGTGTGAAGAAGAACTAGACGGAACATAATGGACATAAAGTATAAATTGGATATGACTATGCAGTCGAAAGCTGTGTGCAATCCACAAATGTCATAACCCGTTGCAGCAGAGTTGTAATATACAGAAGGGAAATACGAAAAACAATTCCAACTTAAAGATTAAATTAACAGAAATTTTCTATACGACCTAATATTTCACAAGAGTTGTAATAGTATTTACCATTCAAATGGAGAAACGGCAGGACATTGGACAAACATGTACTGTCCACTCTTATAACGAAACTGAGGAGGTTTAGACATTTGTAATGCAAGAACATTCCCCGGGTAAATAGCAACCTGGATACGCAGAAAATGGAAGTTTGGAAGGCAATGAATTTTGAAGTCTAGTCTAGAACAGTTTTGACATGAACTCAGAGAGATTGTGTTTGTGTTCAATAGGATTCTAATTGCATATGTAAGTATTTAGCAGAAACCTTGAGGAGTCGAACACTGTAGAAGCCCGAGCGGAAAAATCTAAGGGTCCTTTCCCCGGCATATAGTAAAACTGGGACAGCAAGATACATCCAAGTCTGCATGCATAAAGCAATACCTCAGCTAACATTTCTACTCGGTGCAAAAACAAATTCCCTCTTCAAGCCAAATAGACAAATATTGAAGGAAAGTATCGCCACACTAACCGTCTTACGGTACCATATGTGTTCCACATAGAGGAATATGCCATGGATGATGAGCAAGACGTAAACAATGACAAACAGGTGGTGTGAATACCAGAAGGCATTGAATCCGGTCAGCCTATCAAATGGCTTGGGCAGCTTGATTAAGCTCCTCCTGAACCATCGGGTAGCAAGAGTAAATGCCACAGCCATGAAGATGACCATTAGGATACCAGTCACACCTTCAGGTCCCTTAACCAAGTCATAGTACGTAGGCTTTTGTTGCCCGAAATCATCTTTCAACTGTTTATAGCTTTCAGCAGATGACTGTACGAGTTTTGGAAAATCACAGGCAAGGTGGTTCCCTGCATGGAGAATGACACCAACTACAATGGCTGCGGCAATCGTCTGCAGGGCACAAAATTGAATTTAGAGGAGTCAAATGCATGATATTCCACATTTCATGGACTCGAGCTCCGAAAGACAATAAATTCAGGACATCCACAAATTACCTTTGTCATCCTCGCAATTTACATTCTTAAATCACTTTGTCGTAGCACTCAAATACTAGCAAAATGCTTTCACCATGTGGTGATTGATATCCAAATCACATTATCGTTTATGCATGTTACAGTTGAACAAACAAGTCAATGAAGTTAGTTTATGCTGACTTACGTTCAGTTCATTCTCTTGGCTCACAAAACCTGTATCTGGATAATTAACTATCTATTATTGTGATAAAGATAAGAGGAGGGCCATCAGTGAGATTGAATATTTTTGCCTTGGTTTTCTGATTCTTCTTCATTCTTATTGACTGAGCTGTTGTATTCAATCTTCATAATTAATAAATTTGGCTTCTGATGGCTGTAACTGAATGTAGGCAAGGCTGCCAAACTACAATAAACATTGTCTCATTTTTTTTGTTCTTTGAATAGAACTAATACGTGGGTTGACTCTAGGTATGTGAGTGATGGTTTGTAAGCTTTGATAGCTTAACAAAACTGTACCGGAGCTCAAAGTGAAATCAATAGCAATGGCAATCAAATTGAGAAGACCAATGGCACTGGAAACTTTAGCTAGAGAACAAAGAAAACTAAAGTGATCTTAGTTTAGTACAAAGCTCTAAAAGCCCTTGATCATCTCAGTTTACTAACAGAGACTTTCACAAAGGAGGCAAAAGAATCAATGCAAGAATTGGCTTGCACACCTTGATTCTCAATTTGGCCAACAATGTTCAAAGGCAAATGATCATGGAAAGTTCAGCGTAGACCATTTCAAAGAAGCTTGAGTCTCTTTATTTGATGAAGGATCTTCCGAACAAGTTTTACTGGAGGAAAAAAAGAAGGCTGTTTAATTACATGTAAGATGAATCCAACCAAGTTACCAAGAGCACATAAGAGAACCTCCATGAAGTTCAAGTAGCTTATCAATTAGTTAGAAAACAATGGAGACAAGGATGGAGACATTATGTTGATAAATCCCCTACCTGAGTCTTACAAAGTTGTAAAGGCAACAATGAAGGGTGGTAGGGGATAACTTGTCTGTAAGTACTGTTCTGACAATCAGAACAAAGAACTGGAACTGAAGGCTGAATCAACAAAGAGTGGAGATGCAGAAAGAGTGAATGGTTTGAGGTAAGAAATTGAATAGAAAGAACTACAGACAAAGGGAGAACCGAGGAAACCAGATAAATTAGTCAAAAAAGAGATACTTCCTTTCCCACGAGGAAGAACCTACAAGATGGAGGGATGGTGTTTATCGAGAATAATCACATTTTCTAGGTGGCAGCAATTGGTGCCGTAAGACTGAGGTTGCAAGACCATACACAGATTCTATGAAGGGAAGTTAGACCTTAAAAGAAATTTCATTTCTTCAGGATGCAAAATGCTCAAAAATGTTCTACAGAAGAAAAGGAGGTGCTTTTGAATAAAAAAAGGAACTCAGCCAGTGTTGACAGACATGAAAATAAATAGGCTGTACATGCTGAAGGATGTATTGTCCTTGACTAACACTGTACTAATCACAGAAGATTGGAAGCATCAGTAAAGGTATAGCTTATGGCACGAAAGATCAACTAGTGAGATTGCTGCAAGAATTATCACAGAAGACGGAAGAACTAGTGAACTTAACCATTGGAGCAAAAAGATTATCGCACACGCTTCCGTTGCTTCATGTACTTCATGGTTGCAATCTACACTTCTTGTGCCACTTCGATAAGTGGATAGATATGTTGGGGTTCCAAGGAGTGCAAACAAAGTCTCACATTGGTTAGAGAGGAGTTTGATCCATGGTATATAAGTGAGGATAATTATCTCTATTGATATGAAACATTTTGGGTGAAACCAAAAGCAAAGCCGTGAGAGTTATGCCTAAAGCAGACAATAACAAGTGGTATCAGAGCCATGGTAAAAAACCTAACTGCGTGAGAGAAATCCTCGAAGACAAGACCGAACAAGAGTGATTGGTGAGCCTAACAGTCATTACAGAACTTGTGGATGAATCTCTAGATGGTGCTCGGACGAAAAGTGCACGAGGAGGAAGAATGATGTAGCTTTGTTCGAGGGGAGGAGGTTTAGGGTGCAATAGAACGACACCAGTTGTTCCCACAATGTGGTCCATGTAGCAAGGAGTTCATGACTATTCGAGACAAGATACAAGTAGCACTTTATTTGAGGGGAGGATTGTTGAGGTTGCAAGAAATGCAAACAAAGTCTCACATTGGTTAGGGAAGGAACGGACAATATCATATAATTATGGAGACACTTGGGGCACCGTTGTCCTTAACAAGATACGAAAGGAGATCTGGGAGAAAGCACTCGGAAGCTACTAAGTCATTAAGGGACCGAAACAGCACCACGAATAAGAACTTCTTGACAGAGATCCAGCGTGGAGTTCAATCCTTTTTGAAAAGGTTTGGGGAAGACCCCACAAGATCCTAGTTTTAGGTTTGGTCCCATCAAGCAGAAGAAATAGGATTCAAACAAAATTCTATACCGAGCCTTTGACTAAAAACCAGTGTGCAATCCACTTATCAGAACACGTTGATTGAAAGGGGCGCTGTGAACACATAAAAAGGTCGACACATCTAATAAGGTTGCTGGTGTTTTCACAGCTAATCGCTCATGCCAAGTTCAAATTTACCTGAACGTTAGAAGGATTAAAAGCACCAGCAGACAAAATCCTTGACATTTGTTCACAGGGGGGTATTCTTTTCTGGTTGAACAAACAAGTAAATGACGATTGCTGAAGTTTGTTGTAGTTATATTCAATTCGTTCTGCAGGCCTACAAAAACTGTGTTGAGTAATTATCTTTATATTATTGTGATAAGGAGGAAAATGAAGCAAATTTAACTATAAGTTCCAAAATTAAATTTTATAAAAATATAGTGACCAAGACATTTGATAATATAAATACATAGGATTAGCGCTAAAGTTTGGATTTAAATCAAATTAAAATTATATTTAAAAACAAATCAACTTTTGTCGCCCAGGCTCAAGTAACTTTATTCTTGCGATAAACTTGAGCATTGTTAACAAAACAACAATTTAAATGAACCAACGATTAAACTAATGGCTTAGAGGAACCAGCGAGGTTGATCACTGAACCAAAATCCTTTATAATAAAGCCAAGAAATTTTGTGGAAATTAAGGAACGAGGGATCTGGTTGGTGTTTACCTTGTGAAAATTGATATTGTCGTCAAAAGGTACAAAATATCCCAGCCAAGTCGACCTTATCCAAGTGATGGTATTTCTACATACGGGCAGCAAAATGATAGCCATGTTGAACTTCAGGGTCTCAGCCGCACCCTTAGCCGTGAGAAGACAGTAGCCCATGACCTTGTAGGCGTTCGTGTGCTTGTACTGGAAGAACTTCCACGTGAAAAGCCCGACCAAGATCATAACCCATAAAATCAACACCCATATTCTCCTCCAATTCTCCTGCAAATAATAGAGTAGTTCTGTACTTAGCCTTGTTATGGGACCTCTGTTCCTCAGTCCCTGTATGTTCTGGCTCAATGCTTGGCTGGTATAGCTGAGGGCTTGACTGTAGTTCAGATACGTGTCCTTTTGCAGTAAAAGGGTTTCCAATTGCCACAGCTGCGGGTAACAAATATTGTGAAATCATCAATATTTGAATCGTATAAAGGCAATTCAGGCATTCTATATCAGTCAACTCTAAGGACGAAAATTGATGCAACATGAATTAGCAAGTAACCGGTGTGTGTGGTAGGTGGCCGTAATTCGTGTTTGATTGTGACAAAGAAAAATGTCTGTTTTTTTCTAACAAGCATAATTCAAAAGATCGGAGACTCTAATCCCATCTCACATGTTAAATTCAAAAATTCAAAAATATACATACAATGCTATTAGACTTACTAACTGTTTGTAACTAGTTTGGTTAGTCTGTACAGTTTTGTTATTTAAGTTGCAGTTATATTCAGTTTATTTTTGTATTGTGTATATTTGGAATATTGGAGAATATCAATACAAGGTGTATCATATTTTCTCCAATCATATATTTTAATAAATGCATCTCTTAATTTAGTCAATCGTCATTCACCAGCCAGTCCCATTGATGACCAACAAAAGTTCGTGGAAGAATTACAACCATAAAAATAGTGAATTTATTTCAATCTTTCAAAGTGTAAAAAGAATTTAGGCTACCAACTATGCCTTCCATGTCAATAATTTCTGTTAGGCTGCTAAAAGAAGATATATGGTAGCTTCGGAAATTAACCTTGACTGAGGCGATGTATAAAAGAACCAAACTGTTCAACTACCAAAAAATATTCATCGGCACATGAAAAGGAATTTTACCACAAACTAGAGAAGTCAGATTTTTATGCTATTAGCTCTCTGTATACTTTTTGACGGCCGAGAAATTGTTTCCTTTTAACGGGCCTAAGAGAGCATAGGAGACTCTAAAAATAAAATAAATTAAAAATAATAAATTAAAAAAAAAAAGAGGAAGCATTTGGATATTATTTTCAAATTAGACGGCAATTATCAATATAACTCAACCAACAACAATTAAAAAGTTCAATATCCAATCACGTCTTGGGTATTAAAAAATAAAACTCTGTTTTAACAAGTTTTAACAAGTCAACTACAATTGTTCCATGAATTTAAAGAATAGTAGGACGATACTTCAATACTGTTATAGGTTCTCAACAAAATATATATAGAAAAATAGTTGTAATGCAAAAATATAGACTTTTATACAAATTAATGAATTGTCAATTTTTTTAATAGTGGTGAGGACAAGATTGAGTCCTCATCAGTAACAAGTCAAGTATCTTCCATTTATATGCACATGTGCGCATTATTAATCCTTGCTACGGGGACACTGGGAGTATTTCTTTAAAATTAAAATATTTTTTTCAAATAAAATACTTCATGTGCTAATACTTTTTAGGAAAATATATGCTAGATACTTGCCCTTTTATGTAAAAACATACATTTTAAGTACTAAAAAAATATATTTTAAAAAGTTACTCTACAATTTTAGAAAATTTTGTATGTAGCAATTATTTTTTTCATTAATTTATACAAATTGCAAAATTAATTAAAATTTAATCTATTTAAACATAATTCATAATAGATATCAAGTAGTTAACTTGTCAAATCATCAGTACATCCCATAATTTGATTATTCATATAATTCTTGACTCAAAATATTGTTTTTTTTCTAACGAATAATTTTATTATAATGACAATATTTTGTTAGTAAAATACAATGATTACTAAATTATAAAATACTAAATACTTAAATATCTTTCAAAAATTATTTTGTAGAATACTAAATAATTATAGATTTAGATTTTAACGTCTCTTATTTTTATAGTTCAACAATATATGAAGATAAAGATTGAAACTTCAAATTTTTTAGTTAACGATATATGTCTTAACCAATTAAATTATGTTTAGGTTAACAATTTTATCATTCATTGTAATTTATATATTGAAATAGCTAAACCATATTTGTCAAACATATATATCATTTACAATAAATTGTCTTGTGGCATTTCAAATATTAAGATTTAACAACCGTGAGAAAAAAAAGTAGGAGAGCCGAACCAACCTCAATATAGCCCAGCCTCTCCGGGTCCAACTCCTCCATGATGAGGGCCGCATATTCCTCTGCCTGTTCCTTTAGCCTCGATAGTTTGTTTGCAGAAGCACTCAGCATAATAATCTGAAAGAAATAAATTAATCTCGATAATGTTCCTTTCGGGGGAAAAGATTAGCGAACACGAAAACCTAAATTAATTAGTAATTACCATTAAAAAAACACGTAATAATCACACAATATTAACCACGTTTTCGGTTATTGTAACCCAAAAGGTCCCCACCAACCCCACTTAAAAAATTTAAGTTCGTTTAGGATAATTATTTTTGAACGATTCTCTGTTTTTGTTTTCAGAGTTATTTTCAAAACCTATAATGGGATGATTTACAATAACTTGCATGATGTGTCCATTAAAATTATTATTCGAAAAATGATAGCTTCACTTAATTAAAAAAAAAAGATATGCCATCGGAAAAAATTAAAAATAATAATGAATGCATAAATAAAAACTTCTAAAATCATGATGCTTGAGAGCAGGAAAGTAGGAGCAGAAACAAATTGAAATATATACCCAACGAGAACAATAATTCATTATAATATTGCAATTTGGAGTAGTTACATTTGAAAATTCAGACTTGAGATTACCAAATCCCTCCTACCATTGATTATTATAACGAAAATGACACCCTGTTGGCCAAACCAAAAAAATTAAGCTAATGCAAAAGATTATGAATGCCATTTTTCTTTCCCTTCCAAGCAAGGAAAGAAAAGTCAGCCATCCGCTTTTAAAAAATTAGACTCACTGCCATGACAAGAATATCTTGACGTGGAGTAGGCCAATTAGTCGGAGTAGATTGGGTTATTAAATTAATCTCATCATTTGATTATGCTAATTCCATGCAATTTTTATATACATACCAGTAGATGACAAAAATGGGGACAACAACCTTTCTGACACCATTTATTAAAGTTTAATACCTATTTTTATATTTTTATCATTAAATTTTTATATTTATTTCATTTAGTCATTTAATTTTTAAATATTATGTTTTGTAACTATTCTGTTTTCTATTTTTAAAAAAATATGTTTGTTTTGTACATTGGTAAAATTTTCACCTTTTGAAAATATATTCCAACTTTTAGCTAAATTTCAAATTTCAAAATCAAAATAAGGAACACATGTGTGAAAATAACTTTCTAAACATAATTTTTAGAAGTAGAAAATCAAAAATAAAATAGTTATGGAATGAGGTTTAAATATTTAATTTTAACCCCTAAAATTTTACATCAAAAATTATTTTAGTCTTTACCAATCATTTAAGAAGAACTCAAATCTGCTTAAAAATTATTATAAAAAGAAGATTGTTTAAAAATTTAAGAACTAAAATAAAATAAAATTTTCTATGGAAAAAAAAAAGGTATAAACTAAGTTTAACAAATGTAATTAAATATTACCTCTTTCACTTCCTCTTCAGTAATCCGGCCGTCTTCGTTTTTGTCGACCCTGTTAAAAGAATAAAAATATGAATTAATTGAAAAATGGCACCTGGGAAACGACAGGAGTCTGTTTCGTTTCTTGGTGGTGACGGTGTCGTTTTAAATTCCTGCTTTTGGGCTAACAGAAAAATATAATTCCCATTTACTTGAAATCGAAGTAAAGGTTGGATCATAGTGATTACATGTCGAAGAAGATCTGGAGTCGCGAATCGAAACTTTGATCTGTGATTTGCGACCAGAACTCGAACAGTTCTTCTCTGCTGATTTTTTCAACCTTCAATCTCCGTCTCCGACTCAAAGCATCGAACAGTTCAACAGCAAACTCCTTTGAATCTTTCATTCCTAAATTTATGATTTATCGGAAAGCAAGCGGAAGGGAAAGGGAAATTAATTAAGAATTTGAAATGACCTAAAATTTTACAAACGGATGAAAAATTGAATGACTGGTTCGCCAAGTGCGAAAGATGGAGAAGAAAAAGTTTCAGATTAATTAGTTGGTGAACGAACCTATGCATTGTGCGAAGTCGGAGCGGTGGAGGAATCCGTCCTTGGCGAGCTTATCGAAGTTGCTCTGGATTTCGTTCCAGGCGTCAACGCCATTGGTCTTACTGCTAATGAATTTTAGTCCGCGAAGCGCTTTTTGAGCACCGGAACGAGTGCGATCAAGCTGAGCTTGTCGCTTCCTCAGAGCTCGTGCCGCCAACGCGGAGTCAAATCCATTTCCGGCACCAACAGAATGGCCATGGCTCCACGAAAACCGCTTCAACTCCTGCGAGAACTGCCTCGCCTTAGCCACCGCTTCAGCCTTCAATTCCTGCGAAAATTGGCGCAACAGATTGGACGAACTCCGCTTAAAAGTCGGCGATCTCGACATCGAAGCAGACTTGGGAGTTTCAGATCCAACGGAGAGTGCGTTATCGATATTAACAACCGTCGCCGGCTCCACACTCCGCAGAACGATTCTGTCATCGTCCTGCAGATCGAGCGTCACCTCCACAAACTCCTCGGCCGCACTCGACTCCGTTCCGGGAGACGACCCGGCGCTCATCTTCGCATTTCCAGGAACCGAATCCGACGCCCACCGCCGCTGGTGCTTCGGAGGCCCCCTCATTGATCAGCAAACCAAAATGGGCAGGATAACTAAAACTATCCCTCCCGCAACAACTTCACACAAAAAGCCCAATCATCGACTAGCGCGCGCCCGCTGCAGAGCGCAGAGTCTGAAAAGGAAACCAGTAATGCAATGGCAGTTCAGCGACGAAATGACAGAACACGCAGGGAATCTGGCAGGTACGGATGGGGAAAAAGCAAGAAAAGGATTAGGAGCAGAGCAGATTACGCAAAACAGAGGAATCTGCATCCACTGCAAAATCTGGTATGTTGCGAAAAGGGGATTTGAATCAGCAGGATTGATTTGATGCAGAGAATGGGAGATGGCTGCAACATCTAGTAGCAGAAGAATCTGAGCTGGGGTTAGTGGGACTTTGGTTTATTTGGGGATGGAGGATTTGTGTGTGGCATAACGCGGTAAGAGACTTTGGGGGTTCAAAAAGGCGAAGTGGTGGAGCCGCGAAACCGAAACGTGGGGCAGACAGAAGAATTGAAACTGAGCCCTGAGCCCTGAGCCCTGAGCCCTGAGGAGATTGATGAGAATATGGAAAAGAAAAAGAAGTATTATATATGCCTTATGAATTGGCCAAGGATGAGAGAGCGATGTGGTGGGACCGTCGGGGCGTGGTTTCAGACTCGTCGACGGTAGCGGTTGTTCGTATCCGAGTCAACCAGTAAATATATTTTGGTTTCGGATTTTTCAATGTCAACATTATCGGGTTTTTTTTTTGTTATATATATGGATACGACTAAAATTCTTTTTATTTTTCATTTTTAAAATATAACCTTTATTTATTTTAATTACTGTATTTTCAAACTGTTAATTTTAGTCCATGTATATTAAAAGTTCGATCATTGTGGTCTCTTCATTTTTATTTTTATTTTTCTATGGAGTTTTCATTATTGTTGAATGGTAAATTTGGCCAATTATTTAATGGCGCGTCATTATTTTAAAATTATATTGATGATCAATCATAAATTTATACATGTTTTAAATTAATTTTGGAAATCGACAAATCAAATTATATTACGTGTTTTTCTTATGGTCATTCAATGACATCTACTTATTATATCAACTCATAAGGAGATTCATATTCGGAGTTATTAGATCATTCAAAATTTTCCATAAGCTACAAGCCGAATACTTCATCAAACTGGAAGCGGGAGAGTTTCATCTACTACAACAAGCCAAAGAGTACTTCATCAAGCTACGAAGCCAAAGACTTATCAAGTTTCGTAACTAATTATTTCATCCAGTTGCATAGTCAAAGACCTCAAAAATCCTTCAACAAGCTAAAAGTCGTAGACATCACCATCCTTGTTTCAAGAACAAGCTCACAACTCTCGAATCGAAGTTTGCATCAGAGAGAAAACATCATAACGTTATACATATTAGAGATTAATACACTTATATATAAATACAAATCGAGTTCATTCAATTCGAGTTTCTCTCCTAAGAAAATTTTCGCAAACAATTACAAATAAATTTGTGTTAAAATTTTACCAATAGATTCCAAATTAGTTACGGTTTAAAAATATAGAGATCAAAATAAACGTTTTGAAAGTATAAGAACTTAAATGAATAAACAAGACCAATGGAACGTTTTGAGAGTACTAGGACCAAAATAAACAAAAGTTAAAATTAAGACATCAAAAATAGTATTTAAACCTTAGGATCATATTTCAAGTTTAGTATTTGTCTAATAATTAAGTTTCTAAATTATAAAAATATGTTGGGTCTAATAAATCTCAAAACTTTAAAAAGTGTCTAATTTTAACATAAATGGAAGTCTACCTTAACAGAAAAATATAATTTATTTTTATTATTGATTATCATCTGCATATAATTAATAATCATTAGTTGTAAATTTTAAATATGGATCTTATGATAATATATCAAAACGTAGGACACAAAGGGAAGTTTGAAACCATTAAAAAAATCTTAAAACCAACTCAATGGAAAAGTCAAATTAATATTGGATGAATGGGGAACTGAAGTTATAACTAAATCACCTACATAGATTATTACAATTAAACTAAAAAATTTCACTTGAAGAACATAACATTTTAAGTCCAATAACTAAAATGTTAACTATGAAAAATGCAGTGATATTTGAAGAATATAAATTCCATATGTAGTGGACAAGACATTTTGTTCTAATCCAAAAGATCGGAAGTTCAATCTCTCATTTAAAAATTAATTTAGATATATGACAAGAGTTACTCTATAATACAGTCAATACAACAAAAATTAGATACAACTTCAAATAGAGACGTACTTAAATGTGGAGGAATCTTTTGTTTTGAAAATTTGATGAGGTATTTTCAACATCGCCTACCTCCAAAATAAGCCAAGCGCGTCTCGAGCCATATACAACCTTAGGTTTTCCAAAAATAAGTAATTAATGTTATGTTTAATTAGAAGAAGAAAGAAATTAAAGAAGATGGAGATGAATGGGGCATGGGTATTATTGCTCATCACTCTTTCTTTAACCAGACAAAAAAGACTTACTTTTGTGGAAGGCTTACATTTTGAAAAGAAGAAGAAGAACCCTTTTTAGAAAAACTTGTAGCAAAGCAATTACTATTTCAATTACTAGCATTAGTTAAATTATAAGTTTGATTTTCCAAGTTTTTAGTATTTGTCTAATAACTGTTTGAATTTCTAAAAAGAGTTTAATTCATCGTTAAAATTCTAGCTTAGAATTTATGAAATTTTAAAACTATGTCTAATAGGTCTCTAAATTTTCAATTTTGTATTTGTTTGATCACGAAAGTGATCAAGTTCGGATTCGCGAAGCTCAGACTCGGTACACCGATATATGAAACGTGCAAAACAGAGTTAGCACATAATCCACTTGGTAGTTTGGCTTCCACTACCAAACTGCCCAGACAGCTTGAACCAATTCGAAAAGTTCATTTGGCTCTTCTGATCATCACAGTGAAGACAGTCTTGAATGTTAACACGTGGAGGGGATAATTTGCCCCCAAGAATTCAATACCCTTTAAATAATTTCTTCAAAATCATACCACTTCACCCAACAAATAAATAAAAGCTATTCAACCCTTTTTTCTTTTAAAAGGAACAAATAACCTTTTTCTTTTTTGTATGTTAGTCTCATATTGAATTTGAATGTGAAATGTGCAATATAGGAAAATGGTAGGCTCCGAAGAACATTTTGAAAATGTAAAAAGCTATGATCTAGAATGTTCAAAAACAAATTCTAGAAGAACAAGTGGGGCATCCTTTCAAAAATATATATTATCTTATAAAAATTTCAAACATAAACATAAACATAAATAAATTGCATTATTAGGGGATGAAGATTAGGTAAATTAATGCATCAAATCTTGGATGCCATTAAAGTACCTTTTTGGGCCTAAAAAATGGTAATAATTACATTACAATTTACAATTGTGAACACGATTTGGACCTCGCAACAAACTCCATCTCTCTTGGCAACCAATCCTCATTTCTTGATTCATTTGCTTAGTTTGCTGGCCTATCCTATTTGATAATATTTGTTAGATGCCTTTGATAACTATTTTATTTTTAATTTTCGAACGTATAAGTCAATAGATACTATTTTAATGTTTTTTTTTGTTATATCTTTTTTATAACGTTTTCAAAATCGAGGCCAAAATCAAATGAAGTAGTTCTCAAAATTTTGTTTTTGTTTTAAAGTTTGACGAAGAATTCAGATGTGTTTATTGTAAAAAAATAATAAAAAAAAAATCAAGAAGTTGTACAGAAACAGGTATAATTTCTAAAAACATAATACTAAAATTGGAAGGGTAATTAAACCACTCCTAAAAGTTTAAAAGTGGATAGAGGTCATAGATGTTAGTTTGGAATATTTTAAATATTTAATTCTACAAATTTATTTTACTATTATAACATTTTAGGATGTATAAAATTTTGATTTTATGTTTTGAGCTATGTTTACCTTGTGTTGTTAACAACAAATGAAAGAATATTAATGTGATATTTCATTAGATAAACTTTTGAGTAAGACCACGTGACCTGACCATAATGAACTAAACATAAGTTAGAATTAATTTGAATTGAGATGGATGGTCAAGTCGAGTGTGAGATAAAACCATAGTTAAACTGTAATTGTTGGTTTATGAAATTGAGGACTCGTTTGGTAACATTATCATTTCTAATTTTTTTTAAGAAATCTAAGTACTTTGCAATTAACTATGTTTATTGTTTTTTTTTTTTTCAGGGAACATTATCAAAATTGTATATAAATTTTGGAAACAACCAAAATAAGTTTATTTTTTCCTGTTTTCATTCCTAATTTGCTTCAAAACATAAGTAAACAGATTGTTTTATCATACTTGAATTCATAAATGTTAGGGTCATGCAATTCAATTTTCTTTATTAAAAATGAAGAAATAGAAACAATAAACATTAACATTACCAAACGGACCCGAGAGTTGTGTCACGTTAACATTCTACTTCAATCCTATGCAGTAATTTATAGTGCAAGGACATAATAAAACTCTTTTAAAATTAATGGGATAAAAAGTTACCATAGTTTAAGAGGTAAATAGTTCCAACAATTTCCTACAAAAATTCAATGCTCAAAATACAGGGAGAAATTTTATAATACAAAATTATTATCACAATTCTTAAAAGTTGGAGACTATTTTTTCTCTTTTTTGTTGGGGCTCAATATTATCATTTTTATGGAGGATTATTTGACACCAATTAGAGCCATTTAGGCAGAAGATTTAATTGTCCCTTTGCAAAGAAGAAAAAAAAGAGATTTAATTGTCAATATGTTTTTTGTGCATTAGCTGTTAACCATAAAACCCTAAAAAAAGGCTTTGGATAATTTTTTATGAAAATTTTGAGCCATTGTCTTATAATAATACAAGATAACATGATTCAATCAGATCATTACACATTTATGAGATAATTCAAGTCTACATCATATGCATTGATTTTCAACTTAAATTTATAGAAAATATGTAAAAGTTTATTATTTGTCTTGTTAGTGGATATTTGAAGAGTGTGTTATATTGACTACTTTATTTTAATCTGTTTGCCACTTTTATTAAACTTGAGTGATTAGTTTATTATAATTTAATGAAGTTTTAAAATTTTGTATTATCTTGTTGAATATAATGCCTGTTTATAACCTTTTTTTTTTAATTTATTTTATGTTTTGAACAATTGTGACTGGTTTTTTTTCTTTCACCGTTAAAATACTATTTTAGTCTCTCTACTTTCAATTTTGTATTATTTTGGTCATTTTACTTTGAAAATGTTCATTTTGGCTCATATACTTTTAACTATGATTCCTTTTAGCTATGTACTTTCAAAATGTTTGTTTTGGTTTCTGTATTTTTAAAAAGTGATTATTTTGACTAAAAGCGAACCTAACTCAACGGTAATTGGCATGTACCTCAAACGAAGAGATTGTGAGTTCGAATCCCCAACCTTTTATTTCAAAGTCATTGCTACATTTTATTAAATATATTAAGTACAACAGCTTGTTGAAATTA